TTTGAAAACATTGCATAGAATATGCAATTTTGTGAAAATATTGTATTCTTAGTTTATAGACTTCAATATCAGTTTATACATGTTTTACTAAGTCTATAAAAACATTTCACAAAGTTTCAAAAGTTGGTTTATGTCAAAACATCAAAATTCAAGTATCTCATATTTTCATGTTTTGGACTATTTTGCAAAATGATGATATTTCTCATTTGGGAAGTCTTCTTAGAAAACCAGTTTTTGTAGCATGTGTATTATCATGTCTACAATCATTCCCCAAAGTTTTACATTTTTTGGAATTTATTTGTTATTTTTAAACAGTGTTTCAAAATCAGATAAACAGTTTTCAGAAGTATCTGTATTCGGTCGACCGCACCGGTCGACCGCTCGTTTGTTCTTTCGTTTGTAGCATGTGTATTATCATGTCTACAATCATTCCCCAAAGTTTTACATTTTTTGAAATTTATTTGATATTTTTAAACAGGGTTTTAAAATCAGCTCTAAAACCGAATTTTCTAGAATGTCAGTTTTCGGTCGACGCCCGACAATATGACCGTTGTCTTTTAACGGCTCTTTCTCTGAGCTGTTTGCTGGGGTTTTTGGTCATTTTGTTTTGGGGTTTTTGCTGAGATTTCTAGTAGGTATATATACCCCATTGCTGATGTCTTTTCATTTTGATTAAGAGAGTTCAAAAACAAGTTTAAGAGAGTTTTTAAAAACAAGTTTAAGAAAGTTTTAAACAAGGGTTTGAGTTTGTTTAGTTTGTTTTTGGGGTTTGCTGTTACAAAGAGGAGTTTGCATCACCAGTTGAGGATTTCATCCTCAAAATCTTCCCATCCTCTCTTTGTGTTTATAGAGAAGTTTTCTAACTCTTTTCCCTAGCAATTTCATTATTGATTTATCATATATTAATTATTGCTAGTTTGCTATTTGAGTTAGATTTCATTTTACTCATTGTTACACACACCCACATTGAGCTTTTAGTATTTACATACATAGTATAGTTGGGTGGTGAGAGTTTGTAACTTTGAGATTGTGCTTTCATTGTGTTCTCATCTATTGTAGAGAACAAATTTATATTTGTTACATTGTGAGTGTTGTAAGGTTTTCGGTGAGCTAGAAACCGAGTGTGTAGTGAGGTTTTCGGTGAGCTAGAAACCGAGTGTGAGGAGTGACGTTGATCGGTGAGCGTTGAAAACCGATACTGTGAGGTGTAAACGTTATTCGGGTGAACGTAGAAAACCCGGTTGATAGTGGATTTCTCCCCGGGAGTGGGGAGCGGAGACGTAGGACGGAAGGTCCGAACTCCGTGATCATATCTTGTGTTTGAGTGTGCTTTGGCGTTTATTTATACTTGTGTTTATAATTCTTGTTGCCATTGTCATTAGCTCATCATTTATATGATCCACTATCTAGTTCATATTGTTTACCCTTGTGTTAGTTTATATATCCTTACATATATATATAT